CCGAGAATAAAGTGTGCATATATACAATATCTCCAGACTATAAACTATCTTTTATGTGAACTGATTTAAACTATGACAATGGCTGCTTCCATCAGCAGTGTGCTGGCAGCAGCAGACACCTCTTAAACGTCGATAAACTTCTACCAGACTACTCGGCGCAACAACCCAGAAGACAGCGATCTTAACCACTCATTTAGTTAACTGGGATACTGGGAACGACCCGTTCTTCAAGTGTCTGAGCACTGCGGGTCCCAACTTTTCGTTGGATTGATCTACAGACATTCAGTTGGACTCCTTGGACGAGGGGATTTAGTTAACTCCACTGTTTAAACGCATCGTGCGCTGGAGAACTAGACCAGCTTTTGGCCCTTCGTAACATCTACAAATCTCACACACGAGGGTCACGAAATAAGGCTTCATAAGACCAAGCAAAATAGAGTATTCAGCGAGTTAAATAAATCCCTTAAATCCTTCTAAGGATGTAACGTTTACATCACAAAAATAAAAGGCAAGGCTGAACATTTTTTGTGTAACTGGAAAGGTGGAGATAGAAATAAACAGGCAGCTATTTTTCTCAATAAAAAGTATTTGCACAAACCACAGAAAACAGGAAGAAGTAGGCCTATGTTCTTAAGTACCAGAGTTCTGTTGCTAAGACAGATACTATTGTGTTAATGCTACTGCACACTGTTATATGTGATGCATAACTATTCTGAATACCAGGGGCTTCAAGTTGTAGAAACACTTATATCATCGTATGTTTAATCTATAGAGGCCTAAATTAATGATTAGGAGGTTAAATTATATTTCATGGGATTCAATTTGGTACGTGGTTTAAGGACAAAAACCATTTAATGTCATAAGTGGAAATGGAGGCCTTTATTGTTGATACAAACAAAGGAAGTTTTTCATTTACTTTTTAATCCACGAGATATCCTAACGCAGAGATGACGTGTATTGATGTCATCATAGTAACGGACGACGTTCTGCCTGATGGAGGTTCAGGGACGGACATTCCAGAAACTTATTCACTGTCGGACTGGCTTACTAAATACTGTGGTAAGAGGCGAGAATCTTTGAAGGGTTATTGAGCTCTGCCGGGCTGACCTCCACGTGCAAGTGGTATGGACACGTGTTACCTCGGTACTACCTAGAATAGAGTTTCTCAATCGGCGGGTTCGTTCTCAGATAATAAACTAAGCGTTCTATGACCACTGAGGGGGTAACGAATTCTGTTTATTCAGCAGATGGATAACCAAAAATATTTTAGAAACAGTAACCTCTTATGGCTCTTCGTACTTAAGAAAATATAAAAATCATTGCGAAGGTGATGTGTGATATTATACTTGTTAATAATTAAATATATAAATCCCCCCCTATATATAAGTATGTGTTCAGAACACAGTGCATTTGATATAGACCAAAAGTATGAAGATGAATTAAGTACTAAGTGGCGTTAAATAAGAATATGAAGATGCCAGTCTCCTGGGTTGTTCTCATAGCGATCGCCCTAAAATGGAGGCAATAAGTACCTCTGAAACGTCGGTACACTTTTACCAGGCTACAAGAAGAAACAACCCCACAATACATCCATCTGAACACGTTTCTGTCGTATTAAATTAGCTGCCTAAAATAATTCTGCAAATGTAAATATAATCTTACAACGATCAGAAGTTTCCATCAACACTATTATAATTTGTTCATTTTATAATCGCATAGCTATACTACCTGCTATGTTAGATATACTGAATAACAGTATGGCCATAGATAATCAGTCAGCATTAATTTTAAGTTTATTTTATATTTTTGCAGCAATTTTGATTTAAATTCAAATATCCAAAACTTGTTACCCGACCTAGCTCTCTTGAAATCAATTGACCCCCACTGTAAAAAAAAACTAGCAAAATATTCCGAAATTGGAGTCGTGAGTTTTGATAGCCTAGACGAAGAATTATCAAAGCGACTCAGTGAGAACTTCTGGTGTCGGTCAACTTGCAGAAACAATTACACTTTCTTACATCCTGGGATTTCTCATATATTTATATTCAAAACGTATATTTGTGTGTTGAGGGCAACTCAAAATTAAGTATGATATTCTCTCTTCTGAAATTCCGTTCAGTTGTTATATCTATTTTCCTCTGCGAGAAAGGAATATTGTATATCCTTTAATCTCTGTAATGGTGACATTAAAGATGTTATAATTATATAAGAAGAGACGCAACACTATCTGTGAACTGTGCATGTCATTGCATGCGTTGGGTTAATGACATGATGGCAGCGAAGTGTAATTAATTCGTCACGTACGTTAGTCCTTTGTACTGTTTTCAGATTCCTCTTCATTGTAATGGCATATTTGTGCCTTGAGACAGTCCTGCATTCAAGTCATCGGTGTGAAATCGGGTGTTCCTGAGGGTCATTTTTTCGTAAAGTAATGGGATGCGTCACGCGTGATGCGCTCTAGTGGGAGGACTCCTAACTGCTTTAGCGGAAGAAGGCATTCAACTGTCCTGCAAACTGCAAATAGCGTCCGCTGCATAACATTCAGCAGAAAACCTGAACATCTGTCATCCCGCCGCTGTCCTCTCCTGAAGAACAGTTCCTGAACAAAAGACACGTGACATGTGCATGCATATATACATATACAAAGGCATTCCACACGTAATATTAAAAGTATTATGTTTGAACATACGCCCAGACGGGTTCTGATAGTCCAGCGCTGAGAGGCAACTACTTCAGGGGTCCAGTTGCGTAATATTCCCTACTGACTGCAATAATTGATGTCATGTCCGTTTTACCGGCACCAGACAAGGTGACTGGCCTTCCTGAGTCCTTCACCTCATCCAAAATATCTCTGTGAAAAAACGACATACATGCAGTGCTAATTTCTCGCTCATTTCTGAATTCAAATCTTTGTCGTAATGAGGACTCACGTTATAAGCCCATTATGCGGTCTCACATAAAGAACTAACGTAGAAATTCAGTTTCATATTTGTATGCATTCAGAAGCAAATGAGTTTCGTGTTTCTCTGAAGAAACTTAACTCATTTTCTTTCATATATCATACCTCATCCCTAAATTACCTTCGTTCTCATGGTCTTTAGCAGGACATGGTATCGGTTTTCTGTTCCAAACTCTATGTGAATGCACTGATGTGTAACATTCCCCCTTCTTCGTTATGCCTACTCGCGCCAGACAATGGCCTTTGCTGTAACGTCAGCGAGTATTAGTCACTGTCGTCGGTAACTGCAATTAAGCATACCATACAGATTAGTAGGACTACATAATTGCAAACGTATTGACTGTTATGACTTATTACTTACACTAAAGAGCACTTTAATACTTAACTACATCTTGTATCTAAGAACCGTCTAAAATAGACAAAATTTCTAAGAAATGAATTCCATTCAGTTAGCAGAAATTCACGTCTGTTTATCGAGAGAGAGAGGAAATGCACAGATGACAGCTTAAGGCAGTGCTGAATGTACAGTGGAAAAATTTGTGGAATATCCTGACCGTATCTCGCACGTCCAGGTTCTTTCCCGAAATTTTTCATGACAGGAAAAAGAAAACACTTCCGGTACCAGTATTATAAGGTAACAAAATAATCATTGGCATATACGAAATATTATCGGTGCAAAAACGATTGGAGTAAAACTCGAAAAACGGGTACAAATGTTCATGTTCATGTTGGTTTCTCAGTTGTGAAGCAGTGTGGATTTAGTTACCAACGTTGAGGAATAACATATCGATTTCACCTTCAAGGCATCATCACGTCTGAAGATGTAAACAGTATGTTCCTTCGAAAGGCTGGCATCTCCCTAAAAACGACACAGCTTCAGAAGTACGAAAATCTACATCCACATCTTCGCCACATTGAAAACACCAAATTTAAACAAATTTTGATATTTGTTTTGTTTATGTGATAGTTTAGTTAACGTCGTTGTCTGAATTGAATTAACTGTGTGGTGTCGAATTACAGGATGGATGTGAGTGGTGACGTAACAAGCTTGCGGAAGAAAGCAGTCATCATCTCCTTTAGCCCCTTCGATTCAGGATTAAGTGAAGCAGATCACTTCAGCGCATTGTAAGTTCTCTTGTGAAAAATCCCACAAACACTATCTTTAATTTTACTCAATTTGTGGGTTATTTGACTACACTGGTACTAGCTCAGACTATGTAGTGTCGAATCGTAGGGTCATTAATAAGTACTGAATTGGAAATATTATTGAATGAATATGTAATGGGCTTATAAAGTTATTATCCTGTCCCAGTATTTGCCTGGAGTCAGGTTAGCCGGTCTCCGGGTCGAGATTTAATCCCGAAACCTCCCGAATATGGAAAAGGAGAGCTAACGACTCGGATGCGGTAAATAAATGAAAGGAAAGAGTTCAATAATATTATTCCATCAGAGATACAACAGAAGACACATCTGCTTTATAGCACACAAAGTTTTAGTGCGTCCATATTACGAGTAACAGAATCACCGTTTGTGATGACACCTACACTATGCTAACTTTCTGGCAGAAAAACTTTGGATTTATATGACGTCAGTTTATTTGTCCGATTCTATATTTATATGCACGATTTTCCTTCGATAAGAATAACGTCGGGGGTGGACAGCGTAACACAAACAAATTAAAGAAATTTAATATTTAACGACTTTAATGCGATTAAAAGTTATTAGCATTGACAGACTACAAGAGTTGAACCAGACTTCGTAGCACATACTTGGAATATCATAAGTTCACAAGTTGGTTCAGCGTTATTAAACACTAAATGAAATAAAGCGTTGTTATAACCACACGCACAGAGAAACTAACCGAGCGATCTGATTCAGCGATAACGAACGCTCTGAAATTCAGTTCCAGAAAAATCATGTTTCTAACCTCTACTAGGTTAGAGGCTTTTCTGACTGATTTAAACGCTTCCCTAACTTTCTACAAGTCAATAAGATAAAATTAGACTACGAAGGATTTCCTTAAAATCCTTCCCTGCTCACCATTCAAGCCCACTTCGTTCGACGTTTTATAAGCTCCATAACTGAAACAATGTCATCAAGTAATAAGAGAATAAATTATAAATTTTTGATTTTCGTTTTCCAAATATTCTGTATGTATGTATGGTTTGACGTTTACACAGCGGTGAGTATGAAGACTTCTGTATTTTGGGTTGTTGCGCTGTGTAGTCTGGTCGATGTT